CACACACACACACACACACACACACACACACACACACACACACACACACACACACACACACACACACACACACACACACACACACACACTGTGACTCACACACATGTTCACACACAAATACTAATAGGCCCCGGAAAATATACATACATATATGTATTTTTTTTTTTCATTCCTTGATTGTTTCCTTGTTACACAACCAAAAAAAACAAAAAATATGTAAAAGCAAAGAATACAAAGAACTGCCAACCAAAATCCGCCCCCCCAAAAAAATCTTCTTTTTAAATTTATTTTTCAATTTTTCTTCTCCTTCTTTTCTGTTTTTTATTTTTTATAATTCTATAAAATTATCTGTTTCCGAAAAAAATTGACAAAACAAATATGGGGTTGTAGGGCTTGAAAATCCCTACAACCTCATATTTTTATTTTATGTTTTTACCCATTATTTTATTCGGGGAAATTTGGGTAAATTCATGTCCGCGGTGCGGCCGACGCCAGCCGCGGCCGCGGACATGAATGCGGCCGCCCTCCGAGCTCAACCCCGCGAACACGTCCGCGGGTGTTTCGTAGCCATTGGATGAGGTCCTCCGCCTGGGATAGAGATGGGGATGGAGGATGAGGGTGGAGCAAGATGGCACAACGCAACTCCCACGTAGACTCAAATTCACATACTCCAATCTGTGCGAATATAGAATGATCCAAAGTACAGACTTTGGCTGGGGTATACCCCAGCGGACTGATTGGACTGGACTGGACTGGCTGGTACCGACAGAGGTACCGGCCTGGACTGGCTGGTACCGACAGAGGTACCGGCCTGGACTGGACTACCCCGAATACAACACAGGCCTGTGAGAACAGGCCAAGGGGCTGGTCTCACAACCTCATAGGCCAACAGAGGTCCGCTACACGATCCTCGGTCTGTGATGGATCGCCTAGATACAAGCACACTTCCGCCAAGAAGCGGAACTCTACGAAAGAAAAGAAAACCCGACTAGTCTAGGATATGGAGCAAGCTCCATGCTGAATCCATGCGATGCAACCTAGGATAAAAAATGTCACAAAAGCAGCAATGTCATAGCTAACAGCCTAAGTGAAAGCAAGAAGCAACTAACTAGTATACATGTCTTTGGAAAGCAGAAAGTAATGACAACTAAATCCTAGAATGTTGGACGCAGTAGCCTCAGTCTGGAAACAGCTGAGTAGTGTACACGTCCTAAGAACAGCCAAAGCAAAGATAACTAAATCCTAGAGATGTCAGTGGTAGAGGCCTCAGTCTAAGAGCAACAAAAAAATAACAAGACAATCATATATCACAGGAAGAGTGTGCCGCAAACCACAGGGTGGGATGGTCTCTGAGGGTGGCGAATGCAGCCGAGGGGTCGATAACTCCTAAGGGCATCCACACATTATGTCAGGGAGACACATGTCACCAGGCTCAATGAGGGTAGGGAACAGGGAGCGAACATAACCAATGACCCTAACAGATAGACCATCAGGGGGGGGTAATGCTCAACTAAAGGGGTGACCACTATATAGGGTCAACCATGCAAGGCAATCACTTAACCTGGTATACTGGGCGCACCCTATGTTGCACGCCCAGCCGCGGCCGGGGGGTCCGAATCGGCCGCGGCCTAGGCCGATGACCGACTCGGCCCGGTTCCGCCTAGGCCGACC